CCCCAAAACCCCAAAACCCCAAAACCCCAAAACCCCAAAATAATATTTTGTTGCTGAAAATGGAGCTGGAGTTATTAGTACCTCTTCAACAGCCTCGGTTCTAAAGAGAGAAGTCCAATGATGATGTTTGTGTATCTCCAGACAGCATTCAATTTTTTAACCTACTTCTCTCTAATCTTATAGTCCAAATGCTAGATAATTTACAGCCGAATCTCTTTTTATATGATGTCTTAATCATAAAGCTGCCAGGGCTCCCTTTTGAAGGAATGATTACTCGATGCTTAGTTTATGTGTCGATTGTCTCGAGTCAAAGTCATGACATTCATGCAACCTCTGGCTCTATAAATTCTGGTTAACAAAATGAGTGTTTATGATGCTTTAAGTTACATTTTCAGAAATTAATGCTGAATGCTCAAATTGCTGTTTCTCAAAGCGTCATTATGAAGCTCAGGTGAAGATAGGAGTTATATCTACAGAATTAGGAAGATTACCCTAATTGTATTTGATCTTGCTTCGTGTTTGATATCAAAAATTGGCAACATTGATTCTTTAAAGCTTAATAAGACAAATTTACTAGCAATGCTATGATATCTGGTAAACATAAATTCAAAGGTTATCTTTCGAAAGCTTTTTGATTCATGAAAATAATGATCTCCAATTTGTGCAAAGAAACACTAAAAATAATTTCTATCTGAAACTTACTCCAACACTCGTTTTGGCATGAATATTTTCTAAATAAATAGAAGCTAGTTTTGAGTTTATCCATCGAGAGAATAACAAAGAATAGTTCAGGAAGCCATACCATTGGAAGCTTCTGATGATTAAGTTTAGAAATTTTGGCTCAAAATTAAAAGTCTCAAGTTAAACTTATTTAGAAAAAAAAATGAAATTTCAGGTCAAATTAAGCATACAACAATATTTTATGATCGATCCTCTCATAACTTGATCTTACTTCATTTAGTGGTAAATTCTGCTTTATTAATATAATCAACTATTTAAAGCCCTCAGTTCTGTTTAACTCTTTGTAGCTCAGCTTCAATGAAGGATTAATTCTTTGAGAATTCTTCGTACTTTTGGTCCTATCACAGAAAATCAGTTAGGATTAAAAGTTTGCAACGTCAGTACAAATGAACAATAAGTGGCACTTAACCTTGGTTAGTTTTACTGTGAGATAAATGCAACCATAATAAAAGCTATGATAAACTATTATGCAAACCTCTATTTGGTCTTGGATATTTAGGAGTGTTTTAGGAATGTTTCCAAAATTTCCGGATTTGATGATTGAGCAGCCATGAATCTTATGAATCCCATCAAGGTAGGTGTCTTGATATGCTCTATAATTATCAATTGATTCTTACACTAACTCTTTACTTTCAGCCAGATAGCAGAGTCGTAGAAGTGGCCATCTTCACTTCAAATTGATAACTCTCAACTGATGGGCATTATGAAATTATTATCTGAATTATGAAATATACTGAGTTGGCTTATCATAATTTGTTCAAGTTTAGCAAATTCCAAGCTCTGAAGGTAATCTTGGACCCTCCTCCAAGACAACGCTCAATCTTGGAATATTAGTGATACAGAAGAGGATCAGATATTTAGTAGCATGAAAAAATTAAATTAAAACTTCATGGAGTTATACTTACAATTATTACTAAAACCTCAAAGAGCACTGTCATTGCATAGAGTTTTTAATCTGGTAATTTGTAGTTGCAACTTTTTTATTTGTTTAAAAAGTCTAACTGCTGAGTATACCCAAGACAGCAAATTTAGTATTCATGGGAAATAGAGAATATGAGGGATTTATGACAAGTTTCATAATGTTCTTTAATAATCGAGAGAATTCTGAGAGGACTTGTTGGAAATTTTAGACAATTTAAGTTTCATTTCCATAATTATTTCCTCCATTGGTTCTTGGGAGACTACCTTTGGCAAATTTTTCAATAGATTCGAATAATTTATGCCTTATTCATATTATTAATTAAAGCTTCTCTCTACACATATTATTGACTTCTCTATTTCTCCTCAAGAGTGTTGATGCTTATTTTTAAGTCTCTACATTCTGCCTTTTTTCGAATCTGTTTTAAATGTTTTAGAGTTTGAAGCTCCTTTTCAGAAAGTAGGACGCAGAAGCTTGTTGTAAGTTATTGGTAAATCATGAAATCTGATTGGATAAAAGATTATAAAATAGTTTTTACTAAAGTTTAGGATGAGTGAGATCTATCCAGCTTCTCCAATTTTAGGATCCACCGAATGTCTGCAACCACTAGAGGGTTAGATTTCAATTGTTGCGAAAATATTCTCAACTTTAAATCTAACTTCCCACTCTCTCTATCTGTTGCAAAATTTTCTTACCGAAATTGCAAGCTTGGAGACTCCATCAGGAAAGATAAGTAAATTTGTCTCCAATTATGCAGACCGAATACTCTGAAAGTTCCTTCCATTTCAAAATTACCTTCATAAGATAGTCTGCCTGAAATATTAAAATGGCAAACTATGCTCGTAACACTTGAGAATCCTTGATAAAGATCAATCTGGGCCTCTCCATTCTGGTTGGTCCAACCATTCACGAGAGAGTCTTCTCCTAGATTTGTCCGAATAGAATATTTAAGGAAAATTTTAATCAAAATTAATAATTTTAACTATTCCAAACTCATGATTCATAAACTCCCAGCTAGAGTTCAGGCTCTAGAGAAGGCCATCATTGAAGCCCTCATGATGCCACTCTGCTGCAAGACTAGGACTCTTGTAATGCCCTTGGACTTTAACGGTAAAGAGGTATTCATAGGCAAGCCAGAAAGGGATTACCCTATAGATTTTGTAAGCTCAAAAGTGAGAATACGCTCCATTTAGACTCATTTAAATGGAATAGAGGAAGAATCTTACTTTGTTGTATAGGCACCAAAGATGTCTCTGAATGATCAGTGTGATAAACTCAATAAAATTGAGCAAGACGCTTTCAAAACGAGTAATGAGTAAGTTTATCATCTAGCTATTTGCTCTGAAATTTTAAAATCAGATGAGAAATCATTCTTACAAAAAGTGCTTTTTGTGTCGAACTTTTATTAAATTAATTACAGTTTATAAAATACAAAGTTTTCTATTATTTTAGGATGGCAAATGAAACTTAAAATAATGATTTGATCTATATGAATCCCAACGATTCCACATTTCCTTCACAAAAGAGTTTCTCTCTCCTCTCCTTATACTTCAAACTATCGATGTGCTTGTGTAGAGCTCTGATATATTTTAGTTATTGGAAACATGTAAAAATATTCCAGAGATGCAGTCTATAAATGTTTATGATCTCGTAGTTTCAGTTACAAAATTCTCAGGAATAGAAATCATCCAAAACAGCATTAACTTTCCAAATTTTAGCATAGATATTTCACTCTTCTTTCTTAGCATGGATGTCTTTAGTTGCCATGGTATTATAAGTTCTCTGACATATATTTAGGAACTCTTCAAACACCAGGACGAAGTCTGTTAGTTCATCATCAAGAATCTCTGCTCAAGACCCAAAGTACCTGAACCCTGGACACTTGGGACAAATGAATATCAAAGCGAAGCAGCCTCCAGTCGACGAAATCGAGCGACTCAAAGGGTACAAATACGAGCGGAAGTACCTGTTCAACGAGAAGACCATGCGCACCAACACAGTGCTCATCTGCAAGTACGATGGATGCAACAAAGTGTGCAACAAAACCTGGGACTTGCTCGATCACATGCGCAAACACACTGGCGAGAAGCCTTACCAGTGCAAGGTCTGTCTGAAGAGGTTTTCACAAAGAGGTAACGTCATAAAGCACAAGAAGATGCATGAGAAGGGAGCTAAGAAGAACAGAAGAAGAAAAAGGAAGGCTAATAACTATTAATTAATCAGCCATCATCTTTAGCTAATAATGTCCTCTATTTTAGGTTTTAGAAATAAGAGATGATTTCAGTTATGAAAAATATTAGTTCATGTTCATATCTCTGATTTAAACACAATTAGATAATATTCATCTAGATAAACTAAGAATGAGCAATCGAATTCACCATGATTCTCTTTATGCTCTTTGATTGCTTCTTCGTTTTCTTTAATTAATTTTGGATGAAGGAGATTTTCAGGAATCTAAATAATATGGGCTCTTTATCACTTCAGAAAAATCTGTTTTTCAGACTATAATTTTCATTTGCTTACCTAACTCATGAAATCCTTGATGAATGTAATTTTTTAAGATACTCATGAATCACCACTTCATCTTCCTCTACCTTACGCCTTATAAAGCAGACTCTAAATTTTCTAGCCAAGAAAGAAATAGTTTTCCACTCATTCTGCTTTAATCAAGTTGTGAGAAGCTGGAACAAAGATGGGTGAGTCTTTCAACACATTTGAGATGTAGTTACTTAATCTCAATCTAGTATTCACATCCCGGGGTTTTGGGGTTTTGGGGTTTTGGGG